TTGCGGGCGATGCCTTTTGTGAGGCAACGAATGAACTATTTTTCGAAAGAGAAGTTTGAAACAAGGCATTAGTGCATGCCATATTTTAAGGTCAGATTTTCCTAACATTTCAGTCACCGCTTGCATATTTATACACCCGCACGCATGCACCCACGAACGCGCGCACACACGAACATACACACACACGAGCGAGCACACACATATGCACACACACATGCACACACACACACTCACATTTGTGATGGTTTCGAATACATGCAACCTCCATTATTGAAATGCTGAAGTTCATTTTTTTTTAATCTTCTATTTACATCAGTTGATTGAAATATTTTAGATGAACGAACCTCACCAAGCCAAAATATTGACTGCTGATATACTGATTATACAAGGTTTCATCTACCTTGCTCTACATACCTCTTGTACTTAGTTTGGATCTGTCAGTATCAATAAGACACTGACTGTCACTCTTAAAATAAAAGTATCTTCCATTTTTCAGTTGTCAACTTTTGGTGACGTTCTATCTTTCATTTATTCAGGCTATTAATTTTTCTTTTTAATTAAGCCAAACTAATTAAATTATCAGAACTCGCTACAGCAACAAGACGCGCACAGTAAATGTCTGTCGGCGACTTGAAAAGCGGGAGAAGGTGGAATAACGCAAGGTGTCGTCTTTTCAAGGTTGATTATTTGATTGGTACGCATGCGCATATACGTTGAGAACGTATGCAACATATTAATCAATAATAGAAGAGAAAAATAAAGTAAGAAAAGAGAACACGTGGTTTGTTCTTCAAATAATGTTGTTCCCTGTTCCAAACATAAACTGAATTATGCTTTGTGGTTGAGATGGTTGTTTTTTTTTTGGCTATCTGTTGCTCGGTAATTTGAGACTAAATAAAAGTCATTTGGAATAATAATTTTCAGGTCAAGTAGGCTCTCTTTACTTAGATTTTCATCGTGAAAATATGGAACATTCCCCAGACTAAGATAAATGGACCCTCAGCTATATTTTGCAATAATCGGTGTTCAACTGTTGCACCAGTATTACAAACGTTGGAAAATGTCTAGACCTGAGGTGCTCAAGCATTTTCCTCAGAGAACCCAGAATGACATCCCCCACTTTGTCCGACTCAAAATGTGAATTTTAAATAACATGAATATATTATTGAAAATCTTCATTCTTTTCCATATGAGCATACATATATATTTAGATGGATTATTTTTATAGAGGGGTTTTATAAATTCAATAGCAATAGAAAACGATGATGGACTTTTAAACTTGAATACATATACAGTAATTTGTTTTAATTTATAACTAATTATTAACTTTTTGAGAGCGTTTCCCTGGGGTTGAAATAAGCTTTTGTCCTTGTTATCTTGTTGAAGATGAACATTTGCTTCAACTTTGTTGGTTTCAAAGAATCATTTGACAAAGCCTTGCAACAAAATGCACACTGACGCTTTCTTCCCCACCTAGTATGTTGGATATGAATCCACACTGAATATAAGATTCATCATAACGTCTTCATTTTGACACTTATGAGGGACTCCAAATTCAGTCAATAAAAGGCAAGGAAAAGTAAAAGAATTACCACCCCACCCCACATCCTTGAAATCTTGATATCCATCGCCACCCGGTTGAGAACCCCTGGTCTAGAAAATAATTATTCAGCATGATAAATTATCTTGACAAGTTATGTTGAGGTTCACACACCACATTGTCTCGGCGGCTGAGTTTTCATTTTAATGATGCATCCAAGATTTCTAAACATTTACAGCAACACACATGTCCACATTCGCAATTCAGAAAAATTCTTGTTGCAAATACGTACATACTTTTCATGAAAATAATAAACATAAAAATTCTTCAAACTATCTTTGTTAAAAAATTGAAACCAACCCTAAATAAAATTAATTATGAATACTGGGCAAATGTTTTAAAATATTTAGAGCAGATAGTTTAAGTCATCGAGGTTTGTACGAATCGTTTCAATACTTATTTCTTAAAAACTCTTGACAACACTGTACTTAGTTATCTCCCCTGAAGCGTTAGTCACGCCAATCACAGTATTCAGCGTTCTTCACTTCAAAAGTAAAACAAATTGAATTTCAGATGAACACAGTAATTTTGTCTTTGAAAATATTTGTCTCGAAATAAACAACACCCTGATGATGACATTATGATGTCGGAAAAATACTCGAAATAAAGTAAAAACAAGGTAAATTTCTCTCTTCCTTTAATAACAACACCAAAAAGCTTGTCCTTGAATATGAAAGGATCCAACTGAAAATAAGTAGACAAATCTAAATTATTCAATGAAACATATCTCAATATATATATATGAATATAACATATCTCAATATATATGTGTGTGTCTGTGTGTGTATGTGTGTGTGCGTATATGTGTCTATGTGTGTGTGTCTTAATGCTATCCAACAATTTTTTTAACATATATTGAATTCCTATGTTGGTTGTATAACAACCACCTTATGATATAGATTAACTTGCCAGATTAACTTGTCAATGTTAAAATGCTATTTGTTTGCATATATGTGTATTTATTCCGTTTGTATAATTGTTAACAATATATGCACACATAGTCTGAATATAAATAAGATTTTCTTTAATAAATAACGTTCAAATTACTTATCTTTCCAAATATAATCCTTTGAACTTTGATTAATTTATTGACTCTTGTCGCTACTACTTCTTTATTGACCATTTGATTAACAAAAAATCTGCTTACCTTGAATACAATCAATTTTAATTATTCTACATATTTCTAAATGTTTATACAATTTACATTGTTCGGACTGATGTCCTAATCTTTACTGTCACATTCACAATGTTTCGGCCGTCGTACGCTCCGATTTTCTTCAGCTGATATTTGTTTGAATTTCGAAGAAGAAGAGTCAACCTGCATGTTGGCATTTCTTAAGATTGGTTCGATGACGTTTGTGTAAAAAAATTGGATTTTCTTCCAATGGAACTGTCTTCTACGGCTTGTATTCCCACTTGAGTTCAACTAATTCCTTTGTTGGTTTGTTTAGACAGGACAGCATCGTAACTAGTTTGTCCAATATGGAACACATTGGCTAAGTCAATATGGTTGTTTGTACTAATGAGTAATGAAGAGGATTTCATCCTTAAATTTCGTGAAGGTGCCGATTACAAGAAAAACGGTGGTGTCCACTAGAGACTTGCTCAAAAGCGTCTTCCGGCATAAATTCAAACTAATCTTGAAAGTAATGGTTGATATCAGGAATATTAAAGAAACATGTAATATATATGGATTACTACTCAAATAAAGAACATACATTTTGTTGTTTTTATATTTTATTAAGTCTAAATAATGTTTCCTGTTTAATATCAGATTAACTTTACAGCAATATTATTTCGAACTCAGTTTTAATTATATTGATTAAGTGAACGATTGATCTTAATAGATGGCAACAAATAGGATAGCAATTAATAGAGTGTCTGCTTTTTCCATGAGTTGTTTGTTTAATGAGCATTTCACCCGGTCAGAGAAGAGTAGATAAACATCTTAAGTTAAGAAATAAAATTTTATTTTCTCAAAGTGACCTTATGTAGGAAATTTTAAATTTTAAGACCCAAATTTTCTATTCTAGTCAAAGACTGACATGGAAAGCATTTGGTGAGGATCGAACACTCCACAGAATGGCCTGCTCGACATCGACGTCAAACAACTGCTTGGGCGCGCACGCACACACACACACACACACACACACACACACACACACACACACACACACACACATCTATCTATCTATCTATGTATCTCTGTCACTGTCTGTCTGTCTGTCTGTCTCTCTCTCTCTCTCTCTCTCTCTCTCTATATATATATATATATATATATATATATATAGATAGATAGTGTCATCCACACACAGTTTCACTGTATCACAGCTCCTCACAGTGGCTAGTCAAGACGGGATCGAAACCCGACTGATTTGACATCAGTCTACCCCTTCGCAGAAAGGAAGAGTATTTTAACGTTTTTCTTCAATACGAAATACGTCAGCGGCCCGGAGAGCTCAATTCGTACTTGAAGAGTAATGTTTAATAGCAGTAGGGGCCACTATATTTAAAATGCCCTTTCTTTCGAGAGTTCAACCAGATGTGTCTTGAGGTATTTTTTTTGTATTTTTTTGCTGTAAAAATACATATATTCTGTTATAATAAATACATCGAGATTTCTGTGGATCGGTTTTAATTTTTTTTTGCTGTAATATATATATATATATATATATATATATATAGAGAGAGAGAGAGAGAGAGAGAGAGAGAGATAGATATATATCATAACATAAGGAAGAAATAGGAAATGTTTCGCTCTTATTTAAGCTTCATCAGAATGTTTTTTGAAGAAAGAGTTTCTAATAAAGTCTAAATAAAAGCGACATATGATGAATTTATAAATATTTCCTAATTGATCCTTAACCTATAATTCTGTCCGATTCTAATCCATATTTAATCCCAATTCATCCAGCTTCTTTTAGCCCTGTGCCCGTCTTTTTTTCACAGCATTCTAAAGAATTACTTACAAGTGTGATTAGCCATTGCTGTTGAAATCAATCTCATTTTAGATTTATAGATATCATAACGGTACCCCATGTCGAACCATCCTTACAATTCCAAAAGTGACAGAATTTTGAATTTAGAGTTGTCCTTCTCCAAGCTTGGTTAACAACCACAGCTTAAGAGCCCAATCTGCTGAGGAGTATATATATATATATATATATATATATATATATATATATATATATATATATATATATATATGAAGTATATTAGTTTCTGCTATGATAATTTAAATTTTACAATAAAATTGGTATTTAGCAACCTATGTTGAGAAATATTTCATGTATATGTATGCGTGTATGTATTTAGATATATGTAGATATATGTGTGCATTTACATATCGTTTTATCGTATTGTGATTGTGCGTGTGCGTACAGTAATTCCAAAGAAATAATTAGAAATTTAAACATTGAACCTTGATTTTTGGTTGCAGGTCGATATACTGATATGAACTCAGAAGATTCATAGATAGATAGATACGAACAGAATGAGAATACATAGATAGATAGATAGATAGATAGATAGATAGATAGATAGATAGATAGATAGATAGATAGATGCTGAAGAAAGCTGATCTCAATTTTGTGTTCTATTAAAATAGTACGAGGCAAGCAGAATATCAAGACAAAAAGGATTCATCAGGGAAAGAGAGAACAAAATATATATATATATATATATATATATATATATATATATATATATATATATATATATATATATATATCCTTTCTTTTCTATTTGCCGGTAATGCTAGTTAGCAAAAAAAAAGAAATAGAAAGAAAGTGTTGTCCCTTAACAACGATTGATGGTCTTGACTCTGTGCGGTCAGTCTATCAAAATGTGAGATTCTTATTTTGAGGCAGTTGCAGAAACAGAAAATGAATTTTGTGCGCAGTTATAAAAAGAGAAATATTCCCAATTTGACAAAGACAAGAGAGAGGGAGACGGAGAGAGAGAGACAGGCAGAAAGACTGAGAGACACAGAGAAAGAAAGAGAGAATATATATATATATATATATATATATATATATATATATATATATATATATATATATATATATGCGTATTTATCTATGTATATATTTACTGATAAATATACCTGTATGTATATATATATACCTGTATGTGTATATATATATACCTATATATATATATGTATACATACATTAATTGATTAATAAAGGAATATATATATATATATACGTACATACATATATATATATATATATATATATATATATATATATATATATATATATATATATGCATAGATATATAATAACATATATATATATGTGTGTGTGTGTGTATATATGTATATATATATATATATATATATATATATATATATATATATATATATATATATTTTCTTTTTCTTCATCTGTCTCAATTTTTTTCCTTTGTTTCTCTATGTTACTTCCTATTTTTCCTCTCAACATCTTTTTTAATATCGCTACAGATGTTATATATATATATATTTAGATAGATAGATAGATAGATAGATAGATAGATAGATAGATAGATAGATAGATATAGCTAATTTATGTGTGATGAGAGAAAGAGACAGACAGAGAGAAAGAGAATAATACACAAGAAAGGGAGATACAAATAAAGTATTGGAAAATAGGATGCACTCGGAAAATCCTGGACTCGGTTGAACTATATTTTCTGATGAGTCAACAAATCAGTTGGTAAGGCTTGAGATATACATATACATCTATACAATTTACGGAGAATAAAGAGAAATTTAAATTAAGAGAAAATAAGAAAGAATGATGAAGGGAGAAATAACTAAACGACGCACATAATCACACACAGACATACACATACACATGCACATACACAGATAGATAGATAGATAGATAGATATGAACAGAATGAGAATAGATAGATAGATAGATAGATAGATAGATAGATAGATAGATAGATAGATAGATATGAACGAGAATAGATAAATTAAACAAACTAACAAACAGAAAGAAAGGTTATGGTAGTTGTGACTGTGAATGTATATAGTGATTTTATAACATACTTATGTTATAAAATTTTTTATAAAATAATTATATATATATATATATATATATATGTACAGAGAGAGAGAGAGAAAAAGAGAGGGAGTGGGGGTGAGAGAGAGAGGGAGAGTGATTGAGGGAGAATGGACATAAGTATAAATTTAATTGGGATCTTTATTCAATTTACATGCGTTCGAGAGCAAAAAGGAGTTGGAATATTCACCAGTTATATATATAAATATATATATGTGTGTGTGTGTATGTGTGCGTGTGTCTGTGTGTGTGTGTGTGTGAATATATGTATGTGTATACACATTTTTATAAAACCATGTAAAACCTTTCTTTTATCTTTCTCTCTCTCTCTCTCTCTCACATCTATCTATCTATCTATCTATCTATCTATCTATCTATCTATCTTTTAGTCGCCCACACATATATCCACCCATCAAATGTTGCCATTCGAGACACCCCGTTCTTCCTTCAATAAGACTTCTTCATTCTTTCTATCTTTAGTGCACATATCTCAAAACTCCACCCCAAAACATGAACCTCACCCGACCAGCATCCGTGTATTTATTGCTATCTTAAATGGGCACGAACCCTGAAGCAACTGTTCCATCCAACTTCCCAAGCGCTGTCCCTTCACATTGCCCGGAGATTTTTTTTGTTTTTGGTCTCTTTTATTAATGGAACGGTTTTACCGTTCTCTGTTCAGTACTCAAGTACCAGGATCAGACGCATTCGCATATCGACACGATTCTCAATTGAGCGGGAGGGAGGGTTAAGTGAGTAGCAGTAAAATGGGAACAACAAGAGAATCCATCAATATTCAGACCAGTTGAACACATAAGTGCGCATCCGTTGGTTTTGGGGGGGGGACTTCATTACACATACTATTTTCTTTTGGGATGTGTGCGTCGAGGGCTTTTTATTTAATCTGTCTGTGCGTATTTTCTTTTTGCTTGTTTTATTCGAATAGGAAAATAGAAAAATATTTTTTACTGAAAGAGGTGAAAAAAAGACGTTATATATATATATATATATATATATATATATATATATATATATATATATATATATATATATATATATATTTATATATATAAAATGTATATAATGAGATTGTGAAATGTATATAATTAAATTTTTGTGTAATATATAGAATGTAATATGATTTAATATAAATTAATAATGTCTACTATTAATAATAATAATAATAATAATAATAATAGTATATATATATATTTTTTTATTTTTTTTTTTTAAATTCAGACGACATCCATTCAACCGACGTCAGGTTTCAGTGTAAAATACATCCTCACCCCTTACCAAAATGTAGCTAATAACTGATACAATGATACTGTCATAAGGAAAATCTAAACACCCGTGTTCAATTTGAGTAGAATATTCTGTAACCATGGAAACGTGATTTTAGCTGTGTATTTAAAACCCGGTAAATTTTAAAAGTTACTCCAAAATTCGCTTGAAGATGAAATGGAACTAATGCTTTTTTAATTTATTTGCAAAAAAAAAATTAGGGTTTTTAGCTTCTATTTTTGAAACATGGTTGGAACTGTGTAGCGAAAATAACCATATTTTAAATCAATTAATTTATAATATATATATATATATATATATATATATATATATATATATATATATATTATATATTATTTATTTTAGGATATTAAAACATTATAAAATCGCAATTGCAATTGTAGCGATTTTTAACATGTTTTAATATCCTAAAATAAATAATATTTAACTCTTCTCTGTATTGAGCCCTCTTTTAAATTAAATGTTACTTGCAACGCAATTATACTCTATTCCTTCTCATTTTACATATATATATATATATATATATATATATTGTTGAATCCTGCATTCGTAGGTACCTACAAAACCTGTTTTTTGTTTTGAAAACAGTTTTTATTATTTGAAATCATATTTTTCTTAATATTTTTTGCTTTTTTTTACTTTTCCTTTTTTTTAGTAATGCTTAGTACCTATTTAACAGTATACCCGATAGTGTATTTTAGCATATGAATAGTTTGACACATTATTATTCACTTATGCTCTAAAACTTTCTCTGCATAATACTCGATCTGACTTAAATCTAAACTTTTTTTTTCGATAATAAAAGTTTTTTTTTTTTTTTTTGAGATTCAAGTCTTCCTAATTAACCCATAGCTGAGAGGAGACGAGGTGGATTCATACCTTTTCCAAGGATATTTGTTCATAAGTGAATATAATGAACTCAACTGGAATTGGAACTCGGATTTCCGATTAACAATTCCGAGCCATTGTCCATGACATCACCGATACATCCAAGGAGTCACTGATCTAAGTATTAACAAGGTTTGACGTTATTTAACTTCGCTGATCGTACAGGAACCGATGTTTCAACGTGATATGGCCGTAATCCTTTGCGCCTTTGCGTGTGTGTGTATGTATATATATATATATATATATATATATATATATATATAGATAGATAGATAGATAGATAGATAGATAGATAGATAGATAGATAGATAGATAATAGATAGATACACACACACACACATATATATGGACATATATATCTACATATATATATATATATATATATATATATATATATATATATATGCTATAGCAAGATTGTCTCGATAGAACAATTACAACTGAGTAGTGATTTCGATCCTCACTGGGTGCCCCATAATTTCAGGCCTGTGCCACATCTACGCTTGGAAAATCACTATATACATGTGCGTATTTACATACGCACACACACACATATACATATCACACATACACATATCACACATGCGCGCACACACACACACACACACACACACACATTGAAGTAAATATAAACTGCCTCGGGTTTGGTTCTGATCCCTAACCAGGCAGAAAATTGTAATTGAACCGAGTTCAAATTGGGTCTGTCGTAGTTTTCGATCTAACGACACTTTGAAAAAAAATATTCACTTGGGATACTATCTGTTGTTGTATGCTATTTGGAAAGGAAATGGGCGCCGACAATTAACCAGCATCATCCTGTAGAATGCCTTGAATGACCCAGCAAGATACACCGATCATCTACTAGGTCATACTGATTTGATCTCTGTACATGCCTGATGTTACATAAGCGGCTGTGTGTGTGTTGTGACCACAGTAGTAAAACACCAGACATCTTTATGCAAGAACTCTTCCTCTCTCTCTCTCACTCTCCTCTCTTCTCTCTCTCTCACACATACACACCCACCCGCGCGAGCGAACACAAACTCTCTCACACACACACAAATATATATGTATATACATTTTATACGTGTCTTGTTGCATTTAGTGAGTAAACATTATACCAATATATATATATATATATATATATATATATATATATATATATATATATTAGCATAATGTTTACATCTTAATTGAAACAAGGCAAGTTTAAATGTGAAAATGTTCAATCAGAGTTAAAATTATAGCTGATATATTCTTTTTCTGTGTACCATTTTCCTCCAGAACGTTGGCAATCATGGCTCTCGACTGTTTCTTGACTTTTGTAGCTCTTAATGAGTTTTGTGTAGTCAAGCTCTCTAGGCAGGTTATACGTTGTTTTTCTCTCACCCTTTTGCCTCCAATCTGTTCTGTGAGTACCAAATTTGCCAAGACTTCTTTCCTTATTTGTACCTGTCTCTTTCTGTTGTTAAGTTTTCGTGTTCTTTTTGTTTCCATTTTCTCTAAAACTTAGTCGTTGCTCACATATTCAGTCTATGGTATTCTCATCATCCTTCTGTAGAACCACATTTCTGTTGCTTTAAATCTCTTCTTCATATGTGAGGAGCTATATAGCAGAGCTAAAATTAAGTATAGTGGGCGCATATGTAAAGCAGGTTGAATCAATAATTCCGTTCCATAACACATTTATTGATGTTTGACCTGGATTTTTCACTGTATCAAACCATGTGATTAAACAAGAATCGTTCAGTTGAGGAAAGAGAATATGTTGAAAAATCTATGTTTTATGCAGAAATATGTTCATCATTACACTGCGGCCTTATTAATCTATCTGTACACACACAGACACACACACACACACATATATATATATATATATATATATATATATATATATATATATATATATATATAATATTGGGCTGGAATCAATGTGTTATTTGTTTCTCTCCTGTCTATAGTTTCACTAAAATGGGGAAGGTTTGGTGGATATTGACGGCAGTTTGATGTGGGGCCGCTGGGACTGGACAATTTTTGTCATTGGCCTATATATACGGTGCCCAAAATTAAACCGACTTTGTATCACATCCTAACCCCGCATTATTTGGTTAATTTTTATCATTTTCTTAATCACTTGATTAATTTTACTACATTCGCCCTTGGTGACATGAATTTTGTATATATATATATATATATATATGATATATATATATATATATATATATATATTATATGTTCTTTTTATAGATACAAATATTTAAGTAAATGCTCTGTTTATAATAAACAGTATTAACAACATTTACCGGCCTGAATGTCCGAGAAGTTTTCATAGAATATATGCATCCTCCGACAGGAATTGAATCTGTATCCTATACGGAACCGTCATTCAGCCTGACATGCCTTAACCGATTGAGCCACAGAGGACCGTTTGGTCATCATGATTTTCTCTCATTCATTCAATGCATATTCAAATGTAAACAAATGACGTCATATATTATGACGTCATTTGTTTACATTTGTCATTTGACGTCATTATAAAAAGAAAGTATAAACATAAAAAATGTCTTAAATTATTGTTGTACTTTGTCCATTTCACAATGTATGACGTCATACATACATACATATATATATATGTGTGTGTGTGTGTGTGTGTTATATAAGTTCCGACTATATCTCTGAAGACTTATTACTTACATTATTTACATTATTCGAACTGTTATCCTTATCTTCATTGTCATATTCACAACGTTTCAGCCGTTGCACGCTCCGGCCCTCTTCAGGAGATTGGAATTTCGAACGCTTATACGCTGATCTGTGAGGAAGTAAACAAGATGGACAAATTATTTCCTAAGAAGATAGACAAGTTGATTTCGTCTGACAATGTTGTTTCCAACCTTACCGTTTAAACAGAGAGAATCCGTCCACTGTTGAGAGGCAAATTTAGTTTCACATTTCGTTTCAACATATCTCACCCATTAATTTGATCCTCAGTGACAATCCCTTGTTTCGTTTTTACCACAATTACTGCATTAGGAAATCTATGGACATATAAGAAAAAACCATCACTACAACAAGAAAAAAAAAAAACTTATTGTATAGCACATCTGCAAAATTTTTGGTCCTGACCTGGCATCTCGGCTTCAGCCTCTTTCCCACCGCTGTAATGTAGCTTCTGCCTTTTCTATAAATACTTTCATGGTAATTGTTCTGTTGAACTTTCCTCTATGGTAGCTAGACTTTATGAATTTAAGCGCAGTACTAGATTGGCAGTTAGGTCTCATCATTTTACATGATGAATTGGATAGATGCAACCGTAAATTCTTTGCTAACAGTTTCCTTTCTCGCATTTCTCACCTGTGGAATTCTCTCCCGGCTTCTTGCTTTCCAGTCAAACTTGATCTTCAAAAATATAAATGCAATGTCTTCTGAATTCCTCTTCTTTTATTGTTCTCTCTTCTTAATGTTTTTCATTCTGCATTATTCATATGCGTTATGTCTTCCACTTTATTTTAGGCATGCCAATATTCATTTTTTTTTTTTTTTTTTTGCTGTTGCCATAGCAGGACATGAAACACATCAACGAAATTCAAACATACTATCATTAAGCAAAGAGAATCCCCTGCAGTAACAAGACAATCAAGTAAATTACAGAGTGCTAAATACTTAATAATGTTTTCATTTTCTTATTCTTTCACACTGAGCAATCCCTTATGTCTTAGTGGCTTTATAGCCTAGCTTGTGATGATAGGAAAAATTCATATTATGCTTTTACTGATATATTTTTAATTATATCTGAATTTTTACAGTAATCTATGCAAGAAGAGACACTCTTGTACCAGTACCCGACTCCGAAATGTATATAGCGTTATTATTGTGTCATGAACCCAGGAGCGTGAGTACAGTGGGTTCGGATCCCCTGCTCGAGTAAAGTACAATTACCGTATATTTGAGCGTATAAAACGACTTTTAAATCCCTAAAATCGCCCTTAAAAATTGGGGATTGTCTTATACTATAATTCTAAAAAAGAAACCTGAAATTCTGACTGATATTTGTCAATAAGCTAACCTCAGCCTTGATAACTTGCATGTAAAGATTCACGTTATCAAATAAATTGATAATAAAAGTAATAAAACCATTTCTACCTTATATATTACTGGTATAACTTTATAATAAATTGCCTATTCGAAGAATAATTCCATATCAATTAAATCAATTTATATCCATGCAAGCTCAGCTGAGAAAATGTAAACATCGAATTATGGTTGCATTCACAGCAATAGAATCTACTATTATCGTTCATTAGCGCTATTTTGGGATTGTCGATGATGTATAAGTAAATGGGCATTAGTGTACCAGGCTGTTTGTAAAGAAAAGAAGAGCAAGAAGAAAAAATATCAGTATTCGCAAGTGATCACGTGATGAAACGTAAACAAAACAATGGTTTCCCTTTTGTGGGTAGAGAAAAACATGATATAAAATCGGGTTCATTATTTCGTTTATTTTGAATTTCTAAGGATACAATAAGTAACAACATTTCCAATAACATCATTTTTATATAATCAATAAGCAGTCGTCTTATGCTACAGGTATATGATAAATTCATGAAAAATTGTTATATTTTTGACCACGTCCTATAAGCGGAAATATACAGTAATTTTTTTTTAATATCTAAATCAAGAATTTTATAAATAGAACCCCAAATATTCCTAAATCATTATGAATTAAAAATCTTCTCAAAGATATTGTCTTTTCTCTTTTGCTGAAAATTCATGATTTGTCTCAGTGTTCAATAAGCTTTCGATTACTTTCGATAAAATTAACTGATATAATTTAGAGTAATAATAATAAAAGTATTTGTAGCATTTTGTGAAATCCCCTGTGGGTGATTCAATGAACTCAATGAATAATCTTCACTTCTTGCACCCTCTTGTTTCATTCATACCATATACCGCATTTTGTAACCCTGTACCTTGAAGGTCACTCGGGCCTTGTATCGTGTAAATTCAACAAATATTATCTACTTAAATATCCTCCTCTTTATTTAGTTGCCATTCTTCTGGAGCTGAGCATTTTATTCAATGTAATTTCACCCCTGACTATTTCTTTCAGATTTATTTAAAAAAAAAATAAATAAATAAAACTACAGCGAGACACGAACTCTCATCCTTTTGTCTGCAAGAAGTCTGTCATAAGGCAACAGCAGTCTTGGCAGAGTCATAGAACGACAGAAGCTTCTATTCATCTCCCCTCACCAACTGAAACGCACATATATTTTATTAATATCTCCACTTAGTATTAGGAACATGTTTTCCATTTCTAAATTAAAGTTTTCTTAATTGGTAAACACTCTGTCATAAAAAAATATACCTTAAACACTTTTTCGTTTTATTAATTATTATAATTTCTACTTGTAAATTATAAAGTATACACACATATAGATATATATATACATGCATATATACTTAGATAGATAGATAGATAGATAGATAGATAGATAGATAGATATTTCGCACGCACATCTATGTAGATGTGCGTGCAAATATCAAAGGAAAAACGAATTTCACCTGTGTAATCTGTTTCTAGTTTGTAAAAGGCAAAAGCTTCCGATATATATATATATATATATATATATATATATATATATATATATATATATATATATTTTAGTACTTTCATCGGAGGAGCTGGTCTTTATGTCAGTGGGGCCGTGAATAAGAACTTTCTCACTAAAATTAGTTCCCATATTCTTCACAGGGGTAAGCCAAATAGTTTTCTGTTGGCGTTTGCCCTTAATGCTCCCTCTGATGATGGTCTTATATATATATATATATATATATATATATAGAGAGAGAGAGAGAGAGGGGGGGAGAGGGGGGACGCAGACAGAAAGCGACAGGGAAAGAGTGAGAGATAGCCTTAATGTAATATCCTTAAAATCTGCAGTTTTTATAATAGATTGAGTTTTCTTGTAACGTACTGTTAGCATGAATAACACCTCTAATTTTCTTTTTTCACATACAAAAACGAATATTGCTAGTCTATATCACCTAGATAGACCTCTCAAAATGCGACATTATATTTAGTGTATTGTGTATTTAGGCAGCAATCCTTCATTTATTCATGTTTCATTAAAAACGACATACAAGGTACTACCGTTAAGCTTTTTATTTTTCGTGTGTTCGAACAAGAACAAGGAAAATTAAATAAGTTTAATCGTAGTACCCTATCTGTCGTTTTAGTGGAACATGCACACACACACACACACACACACACACACACACACACACACACACACACACACACACACACACACACACACACACACATGTGTGTGTGTATATATATATATATATATATATATATATATATATATATATACCGTGGTGGAAGATGTTCAATTTATAATATTAATCCTTTAATATATATATATATATATATATATATATATATATATATATTAAAAAAACTAAACGTCTATGTTTTCAGGTGTGGTGATTTCGAGATGTGTGTAAAAAAGGCTCTCTCGAAAGACGGGAACTTAAGTGATAAACAGTTTTATAAATCGGAGCTTTTAACACAGTCCTGCCACTAAGTAAAAGGTATTATTTATTTATGATAAAAATAATTTGATTCGTCAACGAAACTTTTTCTCGAAGAAGACAGTTAAACGTTTCTTTTTATAATAGATCTTATTTATACAATTAAAGGGGTTTTATAGAATAGCGAGTCTCCTTAAAGATATAAAATCGCTATTATTCAAAATTTAATTAACAAATCCCGACTAATTTTCTCTTTACTCACACTGTTCTATAAAAACCTCACAAACATAAACCAACACATATATTGGATTTCCAAATTGTTTAATTGGCCATCAAATTGAAATGAACCTACAAAAATAAATAACAATAGCAATAGAAAAAGAAATCACGACAAAAACTAATATAATTCATTTATTTTATTGTAATCAAACTATAAACAAAACGGAAAAAATTGTAAAGTGTATAAGGTATAGAAATATATCACCTTTAGCAAGGAGTGTTTAGTAGGGTGTGTTCAAATAACTGTTACAGCCGTCTTCTCAATCTGGAATAACAAAAGTTAGCAGGTCAGCTTATTAAATGCATATAGTAAGAATATACTAAAATTACAATAATCTAGGACAGTTATAAGTGCCTCTCCTAAAAAAAAGTCTTGAAATACACCTCGCATATATATATATATATATATATATATATATATATATATATATATATATATATATATATATATACATTAAGTTGCATGGGTATGAGTTTGTGACACTGGGTTTCACTCTTTTGTAATCATCAGACAAATTGGTTTATTCTTTAAAATTGTATGTATCTGTCTGTGCTATGAGTTTTTGACCCTATGTTCATATACATACAACTGAATATGTTAGCTATAACACCGCTATTGAGCACTTTCACTAAGTACTGCGCATATAAATTAATATATATATATATATATATATATATATATATATATATATATATATATATATATATATATATATATTTCATGAATGTAAAAAAGTGAATAAAAAAAGCATAGTTAGAACCTGTCGATATAATTCAAAGAGATATGTTTGATAGAACTTTTTCTTCCCCCACTTTTCTCTATTCAATAATGAAAACCCTCCCACCTTCTCCCAAAATTTTAAGGTCAAGTTAAAACCGCTACTTCATTTTTTTGTCTGTTTTTTTTATTATCAAAATGTCTGCTGAATTTATATCATTTAATAAAATGTAGTCGGTCTGATGAGGCATATCTCTGTATATATATATATATATATATATATATATATATATATATATATATATATATATATTTGTTTTTAGTAAATCCAAGTAGCATTGTAGGCGAAAGATTAAATGCGAATCGAAATATGTTTTTTTTTTAGAAATGTGTTATTGTTAACGGATAAAAACTTTTGGACCGCACGCTCGAAAAGTTTTTATCCTTTAACAATAACACATTTCGAATATATATATATATATATATATATATATATATATATATATATATATATATATATATATATGTGTGTGTGTGTGTGTGTGTGTGTTTGCATGCATGTGTGTGTGTGTGTGTGTGCGTGTATTTTTGTGTGCGCGTTTCTTTCCTAAGCAAAATGCCAAGCAGCTGTTATCATTCATTTCCATGTATTCCTAATTATCACATCCCTCTACAATAATGGCTTCCCCTGGCGCAAATTGCTGACTTAATCAGAGATTGGGCACGAATCCATGCCTCCTGTCTTTCAATTTCTTCCTCCCCATCTTCTTTTGGGCTTCAAGTCATCAAAATAGAAAAATTCAAGATCTGTCGTATTCTGTCCTCTGTATTTATATAGTTGCTTTGTTAATGCACCTTCATCTATATATCAGTGCCTTTCAGGGCGTTGACGATCATGGCTCTCTACCATTTCCTGTCCTTTGTAGCTCTTAGGAAATGTTATCTTTTTGCTCGCTCTCCTAAAATCTGTTCCTACCATCAATTTACTCAAACTCTTTATGCAGGTTATGCACCATTTTCCTCTGTTCCTCTTGCTTTCAATCTGTCCTGTGTGTGTCAAATTTTACAAACCCTCTTTCCTTATACTGCATTTCAGCTGCTTCTTTCTGATGTTAAATATAAATGTCTTTTTTGTTTTCATTTACTCTAAAACTTCGGAGTCGGTGTTCAAGCGTACATCAAAGTCAGGATTTTGAATGTAAATGAAAAAACAGCATTTTCCCTAGAAAATTGGCGCAACACAGTCTTTCCTATTTTCCATCGTGAATGACAAAGCTATGGTCAGTGAATAAGCATAAAATACGTGCATTCTTTTTTCAGTTTTTTGTAAAGTTCTGTTTCTTATTGGGTTGGTGCATAATTATCAGGCGTTAATGTAGTCGAGTTATTTGTTAATAAAAATTGATGTTTTGTTTACTTTTTTAAATAAAAATATTATGTCATTTTAAAGGTTATAAAAAAAATGTGTCGATAATTCTACGCTCCGGAATAATCAATTAAAAATGTTATTGTTGAATTCTTTTTTCAAAACAAATATTATTTAAAAACGCCTGATAATTATGCACCAACCCAATAAAATATTTAGGAACAAGTATTGAAGTTCTGGCAATTTCCACTACCACAGTCACTCCTAACTAAAGTTAGACCCTCATAAGAGAATGGTTTGATAAAATATAACATTTTAATATCGAATGTCAGTGTGGAAAAAATACAAGGAGAAATATTAGAAAACCATTTTCTAACAAAGAAATTACTTTTGTACTGACTTATATATTTATCCGTAGAACAAATATCTCTCGCTTTCTGAAATATTCTCATCTTCCGTATCTATCATTTAAACCTCACCCCAAAGAAAATAATGTAAATATTTTTCTCTCTGTTTATGCTCAGCCTAACAGATTTTTCTACATTCCTTGAGCATTTGTTTAAAAATTTAGCTAAGATCATCACGTATAAATAATATTTAACTGTCTGCCTTGGACGAAGTGCTGAGAATGGAATCGCCTGTGTGTGGCACGTTACTGAGAATGGGTTGATCCGATCAGTATATTAGGAATTTTTCCAGTTGGCGTAAATTTTCTAGTTTTCCTACCTAAAAAAACGAGATTCCCTCTCTTACACGGATCGTCCACCTAAAGAAGATTAGGATAACGCCAAAAGCAACAAAAGGAATGCGTTCAAAACTAGAAAAATCTTTGGAAGGAAAACTACTTCGTTAAAAAACATCCAAGTTCTCCTTTATTTGAACAGTCACTAAAAATATGGGAAATTTGCGTTTGTGATTTTAGAAGGCACTATGGAGTAATGGATAGCGGCTCTGACTGAGAAATCAGAGAGCTGAGATCGAATCCCCGTCGAATCCAACGTGCTAATACAGTTGGGAAAGGTATGAATCCTCATCTTCTTCTTCTTCATCTCCCCCCCTCAGCTATGGGTAAATAACAGGTCAGAACCCAGTCTGACCTGTTATTTACCCATAGCTGGGGGGGGGAGATGAAGATAGAAGAAGAAGATGAGGATTCATGCCTTTCCCAAATGTATCAGACTGGGTTCTATAGACTTCGATGGCAACTGGTCTAGAAAGAAATGGCAACCTACTCCGGGAAAAAATCTGCCTCATCAGTCATGTATCGAAAGATACATGATCGCCTAAGCGTGTATCATGCACGGCACATAACTGACTGAATCTTAGAAGAAGTCTAAATAGGAACACATCCCACTCCACAACTGTAAGCGCACTGGTTTTTTATATATAAAGCTACTCATACTCATATAGCAAGTTCAAATTTTCGGCAATACACTATTTCATTGTAAGATATATCAAACGATATTTGCAAAGATTGATACAGTTACAGATACAGGAGTAGAGTCTGCTTCATTGAGAAATTGAAATTTAAACCTGCGCATCATTGTCATCCCTCTTTATTGTTAGCTTTATAGCGTGCCGATGACAGAATAATGTATGGTGAATCTCTATCTATAA